TTGGATATAGGCCTTGTCCACATGATGTAGACAGAAATGGGTTTGAAGCCCCCCGGGAAAAACAGTTAAGTAAGAATTCTCTTTGAAATTAAAGCAGCCCATATTTTTAATGCTCATTAGCTGACATTTAGCGAGAAGGGTTACAATCATTAAATTACTTTTATAGCCAGCTTTGCAGCAGCTGTTTCCATGACAACAGACAAGGTATGAGAAGGTTAAAATAAAAAAAAGAGGTTAATGAAATTTATGGTGATCTTAACAATGTTTTATGGAAATCAGTCACTAATCTGGTTGTCTCATTGTCCAGGCTTCTAGGCCAGCTGCAGAATGGGCTTTCTTGGGACTGGCCAGTGTTGGGAATGATGGCACTTTCATCTAGATAGACAGGGAATTTGGTCATTTCTTCCTGATTTCTCTTATGAAATGAATATGAGAAAGGATGCAGCCAGGATTGGTCAGCTTGGTAGCCACAGGCTTTTCCCCATTCTCTTTTGGAATCTGCAGTAGCAGTTTTGCTATTGAATCAAAAACTATTATGAAGAAAAGACAAAGAACCAAGTTTCGTTCTAGATTTCTAACCTAAGCTACTAGGGTTATGATGATGGGGATAAAAATCAGAGGATCAGCAAAATGTGGGCTGGGTAAGAGTTTATTCCTTACCTCTTTCTATTTTAGAAATTCCTTTATCTTTAAAGAGACTTAAACTGTGTTACATGTGACTAAACATTTCAGACCCCAAAATACAGCTCAGTCAAAATATGTTAGTTCATGCAGACAAGGCCATGTTTTTCCCAGAAGATGATCCTATTACCCCATTTAAAAGGGTCATTTGGGGATGATGAGGCCTTTTTACTTTTTTTCAAACCTAGTTTTTATTTTTCAAAATACTGCAGATACAGGTAGGTGTTTTAGAGTTAACAATGTATGTTGCTGACATAAGAACTTAGAATCTATGCCTCTGGGTCTTGAAAAGTCTGTTTCCCAGCCCCGCCCCCCCGACTTTGCTTATGTTATGTTTAAGTCTGAGTCATGTTGTTTCATATCACCGTTGAGAGCCGCAATTGTGCCTGGTGTGTCTTTTAGGATCATTGTGAGCCTCTTTAACTTGTCTTCACCATTTTTCAAATTCTGTTAAGGAACTAAGACTTAGATAAAATAAAAACAGATACTCCTGAGTTTAAAAAAAATGCAAACTCTGACACAAATAGGAAGACCAATAAACAATGCAGAGGCAGCCCTCCATATGCACAGGTTCTGCATCTGGGGGTTCAATCAACCATGGATTGAAACTGGTACTGTTGCTGGGCCAGCAGGTGGTGTAGAGGTTAAGGCAACCGGCTCCCACATGGCTGAGATCCAGCGGCCTGAGCATGTGCATGCGTGCCCAAAATCCAGAGAGGAGAGGAGAGAAGGCTTTGCAGTGCGGCCATCACCCAGGAGGCGTGATTTCTCACTTTCCCTCTCTCTCTCTCTCTCTTTTCTTCTGTCTCTCTCCAGCAAATGAATGTGCCCTTCAGCCAAAAATAAATAAATAAATAAAAGCTAAAATAAAATGTTACTGCATACACTATAGAGTTAGGACTATTGTGGTTATTTGTATTGAGCAGTAGACTTCTTTCTTACCATTTTCTAAACTATATAGAATAACAACAATTTATGTAACATTTACATTATATTATGTATGTGCTGTAAGTAACAGGAAGTAATTTAAAGATTACAGAAGAAAGTTATATGCAAACATTGTATCATTTCATGTGAGGAACTTGAGCATACAGATTTTAGTACCTACAGGGTGTCCCGGAACCAATCCCCCATGGATATTGAAGGACAAGAATATATTAATATATTCTTAAAAGATCATATGTTGCTGTTTTCAGTGTGAATGTGGATTCAGTGGAAAAAATGTAGAATTGTACTTTGAAGGAAGCAGCTGGTGGTTATGGGAGGTGATTATGGTGGGGTGGGGATGGGTGTGAGGGCGTGGTCTGGTGGTTACGTGCGAGGGGATGGGTGGATCCTATATGGCCTGCTATACTGGCTTAAAAACCACACTGAGAGAATGTAAGTGTATGCTCCAAATCCCAGCAGTGTGGAGAGATGGAGGAGAAGAGATTTGGGCATGACTGTTCCCCATGAGGGCTGATTTCTCCCTCTCGCTCACTTTTTCTCTCACTGGTAAGCACATGAACCTCTAGCAAATAAAAAAAAAAAAAAAAAGAAAAAAAAAAAAAAAGAAAGAAAAAATTTTTATTGAGAATTGTACATTGAAAAAGTTTTAATTATTTCAAGTCACAGGAGCATTGATTTGAGTTACAGATTTGAGAGAGAAATTAAAACATTTATCAAAACAACTTCGAGGTTAAAAAAAATAGAATTCCTAAAGCAACATGTTGCCAGACCCCTATCTGATCTAGTGCTGACCCACAGATGACCTTTCCCAACTCCTTATCCCACATATGATGGGACCCTATTCAGATCCTGAGATCTAGACACTTGTTCTAACTTCCATGGAAATCACACCAAGTCAGGGTCCAAACTCTTAAATTGTTTTAATACATGCTATTGAAGTTTTCTGATTCTTTCCTTTGTAGTTGCTGTTCCCAATATTAGGGCCAGCAGGTGGTATAACAGTTACGGCACTGGAACCCCACATGACCAACTGTGATTTGAGTCCTGGACCCAGCAGCTTGAAATCATGCTAGGCACATGTACATGAGTACCTAAAATTCAGAGTGGAGAAGGGATTGAAGCATGGCCATCTTCCCTGGGGAGAGAGTTCTCATTTTGTCCCTCTGTCTTTTTCTCCATCTCTACCAAATGAACATGTCCTATGGCAAAAACCTAAAAACATTTTTTTTAAATTAAACTTCTGCTTAGTGTAAGTAACCAAGGAAAGACCCCTTGACCTCATGAGTACTCATTCTTCATGTATCTGTCTGAACCATGAACTAGGCACTGACTCCCTGTTCCACACTAAGCAGAGCAGAATTACCAAGATACAAACTGTATTTCCTGACGTGACTTATGTCCATGATAGTCATCGTTCTAGGGCTTCCTCCTTGACTCGGTTTTCTCCTCCCAGCTGAGAAAGCCTGTATGTAGGTAAGTCTGGGAAGCTTGAGTAGAGTCTGCAGGCCCTACGTGTCTATGGGAAGACTCACGGTGAAAGGAGGCCATGACCTGCTAAGAATTTGCATCGGTCTTGGTTTAGGAAATTTAGGAAGGAATAAATAGCATAGTTTCTTCAGGATTTAGGGACTGCTTTTTTTTGTCCTCATGGAAATTCTTTACCTTCTAACAGAAGGCATTTAGAAAACTGGAACTGGAAAGAAATTGGAAGAGGACTAGCAATGTACTATATATAGGGACCTTTTCTTTATATAGTGTCAGCAGCAGCAGGTATAATGGTTATAACTAATGAAAAGTCTGATGGTTGCCTTTTCTGTTTGTCCACCCAACGGAAGTTTATAAACTTTAGAAAATAGAATGGATTAACTCAACACTTGGATTGAAATAAATCATCTAAACAAAAGTCCAGAGGTTTCTAAAAGTTGTGTACATCTTTATAATACTTAATTTAGAAAAACACGGAATAAACGTCCTTTGGATAAACAAATCTCCTGAATCATGAGGCCATTCTGATGCTATTTTAGTAACAGCAAGTCTTTGTGTGCGTTATGGACTAAACGGTGCCCTCCTGCCTCCTGAATCCACGGGTGGCAGTCCCTGCCCTCAGGACCCCTGAATGTGACAGGTCTTAACAGAGGTAATCAAGGGAAAGGGAGGCGATTCAGGTCGGTATGACTTGTAGCTTAAAAATGGGGGTGAGCAGATTTAACACAAAGACGTGCACAGAAGGAAGATGTGAAGGAAGAAGGTGGCCATTGGTGTAAGCCGAGGAGACCTGGAACAGCTGCCTCCTTTGTGGCTTTCAGAAGGAACGAGCTCTGTCAACTCTGATTTCAGACGTCTAGACTCCAGAATTGTGAGATGATAAATATCTGTTTAAACCACCCAGCCTGCTTTTTTTCTTTCTTTCTTTCTTTCTCTCTTTCTTTCTTTCTTTCTTTCTTTCTTTCTTTCTTTCTTTCTTTCCTTTCTTTCTTCCTTCCTTCCTTCCTTTCTTTCTTTCTTTCTTTCTTTTTCTTTTTGGGGGGAGAGTTTTTTGCTACAGGGCATGTGCACTCACCAGAAAAAGAGAGAGACAGAGAGACAGAAAGTGAGAAATCACCCCCTCAAGGGGGATGGCTACTCTGCAATCCCTTCTCCCCCATTCTCCTCTCAGGATCTTGGGCACACATGCACACGCGCCTGGTGTGAGTTTGAGCTACCGGGTCTGGAACTCGAACCTGCGGTTCTTTATTACAACAGCCCTAGCAAGCTGACGCAGTGCCTGACAATTTCAGCAAGGACTGAGCCATTGGTGCAGCCCAGAACCAGCTTTGCCTGTGCTTCTTTACCAGGGTTGTGGGTGCCAGACTGAGGCCAGGGAAAAGACAAAATATATGACCCTTATACGTCAAGCCAACTAACAAGAAGGTGGAACAGAAACACAGAGCCGCTGGGGTTTGATTACTCTCATGGTTTATTAATATTCAGATTGAAAAAGGAGCCTTAGAGCCGCAAGTTACGCTAATTGGCACATTTGCTTTATTTATTTATTTTTGAAACAAACTGGGTTTTTGAATTTTTTTTCCTTTTTGTTCATTCCATCACATTGAAAAGGAGGAAAACAAAAATGGTTTTGAATTCACTTGATATTTTGGACTCCTCAGATGAACGGAACATTGCACACACACTTGGAACAGAGAGAGATAGAGAGGAAAGTGGACTCCCACAGGGCCACACGCACCAGATCAAAAAACTTGGATACAGTGCAAGAATTTCCCAAATGATTGGATCATCATTACCAAAAACTCGCCATAACAACACCAAGGAACAAAAAATGTTTAAGCCACACTGTTTGACTTGGGATCTTTCCTGCTTTTTTTTTTTTTTTGAAATGTTTGCCACACAGAGAGAAAGAGGGCTAGTGGGAGAGGACAGACTCACAGACGTGAGTAGGACAGGAAGGGAAACTTCAGAGTGGAGTTCAGAAGAGGGTGGGGAGAGACAGGGCTCAGGAGAGGGGAGGGGAGGGACGTGGAAAGCCATTTCTTAAAGTTCAGGCATGTTCTTGGTCAGCCTCACGTTCTTCTTCTTTACCCTCATCCTGCCGGGCACTTTCCTTAGGTTTGGTTTCATCTACAGCTTCTGAGAAAGAAAACGAGATGGAGTGGGAGGGGAAAAAAAAAATAAAAAGAGTGTTAGTGTTTTGTCTCCACGGCTAAACAAAGGTACAATGCATTTCTTCTTTTAAGATAAACAAGAGAACATTGCTCTCCATCATATAATTTCAAAGTTCAGAAGAGTGTCCCCGCAGGAAGCCATTCTGTGGCACATGGAGAAGCATTCAGAAACCAAGGTGTGACGTTAGGGACAAGGGCTCCTCTACGCAGAAACGACTGGTTTTTAACCTCTTGGTCTTACGATCCCAGATCTTCACACAGAGAATCAACAGTTTTGTGTTTGTATTCCATTAGTGTCAGAATAATTGGGACAGATAATTATGTAGATAACAGAACAGAGGACCCACTCCAACTCTCTTCTGTCTTATTTATAGCACTATTAAGACTAAAAAAATGGAATATGGAACTTCCAGGTCCTCTTGGTGCTACAAGCAACCATGTGACAGAATAGAGACAGAATTCCCTCGAGAGAACTGGGTTGTTCTGCATCCTTTACACACTCACATTTCCGATGACGGGACATTAAATGATACCTAGTAGTGTAACAGCTATTTCGTGACCATGAAGAAAGTATACACTAAGAATGGTGGAGCAGAAGGAAAAGGAAAAAGGTCATCATTGAGCAACAAGACCACTCCCGAACACATTTCCCCCAGATTTTTTATTGTGCGAGATAAATAACTTAACCTTTTTAAAGCATCACAGTGGTTTTCGGTTTCCTACAGCCGAGCACATATCTATCGGGCAACCCCTGTATGTGATTTTTCCTGTATGTACATTCTATAATAAAGTCTAATTTTTAAAATAAGGGCTATTGCACACAAGCACTGTGACATTGTACCAGTTGATTCGATAGGAGACACGTAAGAAACTGACGGTGGGTCCTTTTTGCTTAACAAGGAGGACGTTGTTTATTTTTGAAGGCTGAGTCCTCCCTCTTCCCCACCCGCCTCCCTGCCCTCCCACCTTTTGGTTCTCTATCGAACTCAAGTCAATTCACGTTATGCTATAAGATCATTTATTAGTACGCCAGTTTCTGGAAAGAGAGTTTGTTTGCCTCAAAACCACTTGTGATACCAACAAATACATTTTTCATGTCAGGGGTCTACAGACTGTCCCCACCCAGATTCAATGATTTCTTAGGACTTACAGGACCCAGCATATAGTCCATAATTTATCATACTGAAAGGACAGAGAGGAAGAAGAAAAGTAAAGGGAAATGTTTCATGGAGCAAAAAAGTTTCATGGAACGAAAGCTAAAATTTAGAGGAAATCAAACATAAGCTTTGAAGATTCTTCTCCCCAAAAAGTCCTACAAGATATGCTTAATCCTTCCAGCAATAGACCACAACCACACATGTGAGATATCATTCACCAGGGAAGCTCACCTGAACCTGTAAGTCTAGAAATGATAGATTATGGCATCTGGTCAAGTAGGCACCCTCTGCTAGCCTGAATCCAGACTCCAAAAAGAAAAACAGATGTTCTGTATAAATGACAGTGTTTGCACAAAACTTTTAGGCATAAGGAATTACTCTATCAAATAGGGAACAATGAGAAACCTGTTAAAATCCAAGTTACCAAATGCCAGTCAAGAGTCAACTTACAAGCAAGCCTTTCTGAGAACAGCAGTAACAGGCCTGCTATGTGAACTTTTTCCTGCATGCTCTTGAGTTTGAAAATGCCTGTATCCTATAAAATAAAACTATTTCTCTTAACATCTACTAGCTGCTAATTTTACTTCGGAAGATAAGCTGGAGTACAGAAATCTTGTTAGATTAACAAATTAGTACTTAATTTAAAGCTACAGTTGTCCCCTGTTACCTGTGGAGAATACCATCTAAGACCCCCAGGGCATGCCTGAAACTATGGATAGCACCAACCCCGGTAAATGTTTTTCCTATGTGTACATATCTATAATAAATTTTAATTTAAAATTAATTTATAAAGTGAGGTTTATTAATCACAAGCCCTGTGATATTCACCAGTTGATTTGATAACTGAGACAACTAAGTGATTGACAGGTAGGTACCTTACACAGCATAGATACATTTGACAAAGAGATGATTCACAACCCATGTGGATAGCTGGATGGCACAACATTTCATCATGCTACTCTGAGCAGCACATAATTTAAAACTCTTGAATTGTTTATTTCTAGAATTGTCCACCTATTATTTTCAAATAACTAAAATCATGGAAAGCAAAATTGCACATAAGAGAGGACAGGTTTAGGACACCTGTCATGGACAGGTTTACCAAGCACTTGAGCAAGAAAGTGTAATAGAGCTATGCTTTGTGAAGGAGCTAAAATTAGTGATGCTAAATAGAATGGATTTGGTGTTGGGTGATGGTGTTGAGATTCTAATCTTGATCTAACATTTTCCTAGAAATGGGGGCCATTTAGACCACTAGAAGAGCTCTTAAAAATGTATGTCTTTCAAAGCAGCCAACTATCTATTTATATATAATTGAACATTTATATCTAAATAAGACCACCACAGTTAAACACAGTTGTTGTTTTTTTGAGAGGTTTTTGTTATAGGGCACGTACACTCACCAGAAAGACAGAGAGATACAGAGAGACAGAAAGTGAGAAATCACCCTCCAGGGAGGATGGCCATGCTGCAATCCCTTCTCCTCCATTCTCCTCTCAGGATCTTAGGCATGCACACACACATGCCTGGCATGAGTTTGAGCCACCTGGTCCAGGATTCAAACCATGGTCGACTACATGGGAGTCCAGTGACATAGCCATTACACTAACTACTGGTCCCAAGAGGGATTTTTAAAATCTTCTGGGTAGTGAGCCATAAACTCTGAGGGTAATATTAATATCTACTTTTGTTCAACTTTGACCCTCCCATGTCCAGCATAGGACCTAAAGCAGGGAAGATCCTCAATAAATATTTGTCTAGTGAAAGAATGAATGGATAGCCTCATTTTACAGGTAGGAAACGGAAGTCCAGGCACATGAAGAGACTTTATCTGTATCATATTGTTTGCTCATGATCAAGACAGGATTAAAACTTAGATCTTCTACTTGTCCAGATTTTCCCATTATTTATACATTTTATTTTATGTGAAGTAAGAGTAATTTTTTTTACTTGATATTATTGAATGCTGAGCAATGGGGCCATCTTTATTTTAGGTGATTAGATAACTATTGGGTTGTTGGGAATGTCATGATGCATTTTTGCATAGAAAGAAAAATAGTCATAACTCAGAAATGAAATGGGTCAAGACAGTAAAGTCAGTGAAACTTGTAAAGTCACCCAGAAATTATGGTGAGAAAAGATATAGAAGGTGGAATTACGTAAAGTTAATGATATTACATGACCACAAATGTAAGGTAAGCTAACCTAAGAACTCAAAATAATATTTTTAAACTCTTCCTTGCAAATGAAGAAAACCATAGTCAACATAGGCCATATACCTACTCTAGCTACAGTCTTCTTTAAGGGAGACTGCATATGACTATGGGGAAGGATTTATTATTTTTTTAAGAATTATTTTATTTTATTTTATTTATTATTATATTATAATTATTTAATTTGACCAGAGAGAGAGACCATAGAGACAGAGAGAGAGAGAGGGAAAGTGAGAAAGCAAGCCACCAGACCCAGGACTTGAACTGTAGTCGGCCATGTGAGAGTTCAGTTCTTTAACTACCAAGCCACCTGGCGGCCCCGTGGGAATGGTTTTAACCTTAGACAAAGGGGAACTTATTATAAACAGAATTCAAATTTTGTATAAACTGGTCCATTAGAGCCTGAATGTCAGAGAGAACTTCTTGATAAAGTTAACTTGTTTCTTCTCCCACTGGTATCAACTCTAATTAGGTCGTTACTATCATAAATCTTATTGACCATAGAGTCATTTATCTATATTTTGCAACCTATTCTATATAACAGTGTTGCTGCCCAGAATAAAACAGTAATGATGATTTACCCGGCCTTTCCTATAAAGTAATTAACTAAAGCTATTTTTGGAGCTCTTACTATATGCTCAGAACAGTCTGAAGTATGCCTGTATCATTTCATTTAATACTCACAGCTGCCTTAATCATCCCATTCTACAGCTGGAGAAGCTGATGCACAGATTAAATAGATTAAATAGTATACCTAAGGCCACAAATTCCAAACTAAGACACAGCCATCTAGGAAGCTTCTACTTTATACTGTTTTTCCTGCTTTTAGCTTTGCTCAGGAAGGACGGGTGGGCTCAGAATGGGAAATAGAGCAGGAAGTCTGCAGGCTTAGCGTTCTGCAGTCCATGAGTCTAAAAACCATCTTGTTGAAAGCAGCTTAATGGTTAGCAGATTATAGGATTTCTTTTAGAAGCAATGAATATCTGGAATCACAGTGGTGATGGTTGTACAGCATTTTGAATGTACTGAAAGCTACTTTACTGTATAGTTTACAGTGGTTAAAGCTGTGAACTTAATGTTGTGCTAATTTTATCTCAATAAAAAAATTGTGAAAACAAGAACAAAACAAAAAAAGGCAGCTCAAAATGGAGGGAAGAACCGAACTTTAGTTTTCTATACTATGAAATCTGGTCTCGATGCTTTCCAGCACTAATTACATAATTTGTAAATGCTAGAAATGAGTTAATGTGTAATCTTTAGTATTTTGTAGGAAATCTTTGATCATCATGGTGAGTGTCAATGACAGATGAATGGCTGAGGCCAGCTGGTCATTCCAATTACCATGATCTAATTAGGGTAAATACTCACATTCCTCATCTAGAGCATCAACCTCCCTCTGAGGCAGTTATTACTTAAGAGGCTGTAGATGCTAAAAGACTGAAGTGAGATTTTCAGTGCCAACTGACATAGAACTAGAGGGTGGGAGCAACCAGGCTCAGAGTTAGAAATGAGGAAAGCCTGAAGCTGCTGGTGTGACAGCTGATATCCAATAAGTTGGAGTGGAATTGTGTCTTTTTCAGTGTACCTCTGCATAT